ATGCACCTAGCCTCATTTTGGCAGCAGATTCGTAACGAATTCGCTTGCCTAAAGAACGTCGGGATGGTAGCGTGTCTTTCTGCAATTTTTCGATAGATTCATTTCGACTCAGAGGGAGAAGAAGACGAGATTGGACTCACCTGTCTAAGGGAGGCTGCGCCCGGGAGGAGCAGCCAGCCGTTGTATAAAGGATGGAGTGAATCTACCCATATCCGCGGGGCAGATTTCGCACGTACCGTTGAGGCAGGCTGTACGAAGTCAGCCACGGGGCCGGCGGTATAGCCATGATAAATCCCGCTGCCATCCGTTGTAACCCACATTTCCGATCGACTCACACCGGCCCTGTGTGACCATCAAGGTGTATGAAGGGGGCCGAACTGTTGTTAGTGAGGTCGGCATACCCTGGTAGACAGTCTCCAATTGATAAGTGTCGGGCTCATTGTTGTGACGACCGACCTGCAAACAAAAGGAGGGGGTGACTACACGAGAAGAGAGGGTGTGCAGGGAACGAGACATGCTTACCTGGCAAAAGAAAAGACTGACCGAGTGGGCTAAGAAGAGGGAGAGAGAGCTTGCCAACCACTGTGCGTTGTTGCGGCACCTATGGGCTATGCCCGGGCAGTTGATGTGGGTTGTTTTATGTCGCTGCGTACCGATGGTGACTGTTACAGGCAGTTCCGTGACAGCAGTCGGGCAGAGGAGTGTTGGGTCTCGAGGAGATGACTAGGCCTTGCGAGTAGGGGGTTTAGTGCTACAGGTCAGAGGGACGACGGACGCCCGACTTTGGCCGATTGACTCTGGAGATGAGCCAAGCTGTTACTATTTGGCTACCATTGCGGGGCCCTCAGGTGTGATAAGATACCAAGGCCCTCTCCTGCGAGTCTGAGCGCACCATTCTTGGATCTGAGAGACTCACATCTTTCTTTTTCTGCCCTTCTTAATCTAAGTCTAGTCCTTGGTTATGAGAGGAAGGCGGCAGGTGGGATTGCAACCCGTAAGTCCGCGTCAAGACTCTGTGGGGAGTCCACCCACCGATTGCGGGAGCTCTGCCGGAACTCATGAGGAGTTATGGAGGAAGGGAACCTTCAGGTAAATCATTTTTATCTGTATAAACCCCACTACTACCCATGTTTGCCTATCTCCCTGCAATATGATTGTTGTATGCATGCGTTTGTCCCTATGGTTTTTGCTTTCTCTTCAGGACCAAATCAGACTAACTGGAAARAATGTGTGAGAGTGAAGCCTAAGTTTCTATTTTGTTCTGATTGAAAGCAGACTAAGGATGAATTGGGGGAAGGTGGAAGGAAGGTAGACTGCATGCGTTTGACTGGGTCAACCAAAGCCTTAGCATTGTTTCTACTGTGAATGGCTCAGGGCTATGTTTATTTGGATGTTTTCTGAAGGACCAGACATTGTTTCTACTGTGAATGGCCTGGTCGCTGTGTTTATTTGATTGTTTTCTGGGGAGCCAGGCATTGTTTCTACTGTGAATG